AAAATCCTCTACGCCCTCAGGCAGGGCTAGGATCGGCGCCTCACACAATTTCTGTCTCAGCATTCAAACGCAGCCTGCTGCTCGGTCCCCACCGAAAGACCACGACTTTCTTCGTCAGTCGTGTCAGGGGCACGGCTATCTTGGAGAAATCTTGGATAAACCTCCGATAGTAGCCTGCCAATCCCAGGAACTCCGAATCTCAGATGGAGACTTCGGACCTCCCATCTCATCACGGCCTCGACCTTGGCCGGATCAACCAGAATCCCGTTCTGGTTGACGAGGTGTCCAAGGAATTGCACCTCGCGCAACCAAAACTCACACTTGGAGAACTTGCATACAAGCTCTCCCTCCTCAGGTCTCCAATACCTCCTCAGATGCTCCTCGTGTTCCTCCCGAGTCTTGGAATAGACCAGAATATCATCGATAAAGACTATCACAGGACCGATCCAGCATCGGTCTACACACGCGGTTCATGAGGTCCATGAACGCGGCAAGAGCATTGGTGAGCCCAAACGGCATCACCACGAACTCGTAATGACCATAGCGCGTCCGAAACGCAGTCTTCTGCATATCCTCCTCCCTAACCCTCATCTGATGATAGCCTGAACGCAAGTCAATCTTGGAGAACCAAGATGCTCCCTGAAGCTGGTCAAATAGGTCATCAATCCTCGGAAGCGGGTATCGGTTCTTCACCGTTACCTTGTTCAGCTCCCGATAATCTATACACATCCGATGCGACCCGTCCTTCTTCCTTACAAACAGAATCGGGGCTCCCCAGGGTGAACTGCTCGGACGAATAAATCCCTTGTCTAGCAGCTCCTGCAGCTGCGTAGACAACTCCTGCATCTCGGGAGGAGCCAACCGATACGGTGCTTTGGCTATCGGAGCCGCACCGGGAATGAGGTCAATCCTGAACTCCACCTGTCGCTCCGGAGGTATCCCAGGTAGTTCCTCCGGGAAAACATCTGCAAAATCTCGAACCACCGGGACCTCGCTCACGGTCGCCTTACCCGCCTCCCGGGTATCCATCACATACGCGACATAACCCCGCATCCCTGCTGAAGGTAGCGCCTAGCCCTCGCTGCTGAACATACAGTGGGTCCACACTGCGGCCGCTCTCCATGAATCACTAACTCTCCCCCGCTTGGGGTTCTGACTCGCACTAGCTGCTGCGTGCAATCTATCACTGCCCCATTAGGACTCAACCAATCCATGCCAATAATCACCTTGTTCCCACGCAATGGGATGGGACCAAGTCTACCAGGTAACGCTCCTCAAACAGTCGCAGAACACAATCTCGAAACACCATCGATGCTCGCACCGATCGATCGTCAGCAATCTCTACCTCTAACGGGCAATCTAACTCGCCTGAAGTCTCATGAAATCTCTTGCTAAGAGCAAGAAACGAACGATCGGGATGCACCCGAGTCGAACAATACCTGAACCGGGATGCCGTTCACATGGAACGATAATACGTATACACCTCACCACATCGATAGAAAGCGCGGCGCGTGCCTCCTCGGCAGTCAACTGAAATGCCCGACTCCTCACTACTGGAGCCTCTGCCTTGCCCTGCCGACCATCCGTGATCCGCAGGGTCGCTGGAGCCGGCGCCTTCACTGGCGCTGCAACTGACAACTGGGGCAATTGGCCTTCTTGTGGCCCCTCTGGTTGCAGTGAAAACACAGCAACTCGGATGTCTGAATAGCTGAAACTGGAGCAGTACAATCCCTGCTAAAGTGCCCTGTCTTGCCGCACTTGTAGCAGCCTCCTGATCCCATCCTACATATCCCCACGTGCGTCCTGCCGCATTTCCCGCAGCGGCTCGATCCTGAATGACCTTTCGGTCTACCGTCTGATCCCTTGGGCTTCTTCCCCGAAGCCCCTCCTGCCTGACCGTCCTCTAGTTTCCGTTTCCGGATGTGCTCCAAATCTATCTCTCTCTCCCTAGCCCTGGCAATCATAGAGTCCAGGGTAGGGCAAGCCGAAAAGCTAACATGCTCCCGGATGTCAGCTCGTAGCATATCATGGTAACGAGTCCTCCTCATATCCTCGTCACCGGCATACTGGGGCACCAATAAAGCCCTCTCCCGGAACTTGGCGGTGATCTCCGCCACAGTCTCCGTCGTCTGCCTCATGTCTAGAAACTCCCTGGCCAGCTGCTGAAGCTCGACCGCCGGTGCAAACTCCGCCCTGAACCTAGTCACAAAGTCCGACCAGGTCATTGCCTCGATAGCCGAGGCTCCCAACGAGTCACCCACTGACTCCCACCAATCCCGGGCTCGGTCCCGTAAACACCCTGCTGCGTACCTCACCTTCGACCCCTCGGGGCAGAAGCTAGTCAACTGGGCAGACTCGATATCCGCAATCCACCGCCTGGCGACAATGGGGTCCTTCACCCCATGGAAATCCGGCGCACCACTGCCCCTGAAGTCCTTGAAGGACAGTGTGCGAGATCCTGACTGGCTAGAGGCTAAATCGCTCCTGAATGCCCGTAGGCGATCCTCCATCAACTCCATAATCCCTTCCTTGATCGACCCAAAGAGGATGGGGGTCGACTCAAGGATGCCCCTGGTGATCTCCGACGTGATGAACTCACGTAGCCTCTCATCAATCGGCTCGGTGCCTGATCCCGAACCTGACCCCTCTCCTGACCCGCCATCTGTCGGTCTCGGTCGAAGTACCACCATTCTGCAAAACATCATAATAATCATTAGTGATACTGCTACTTTCTGAGGGATCTCAACTACTTACAGGTTCCTTGGTCTCGTCTTGGCCTTCCTCGGCTAGGGTACGGATCCTCTGCTTTCAGTAGTACGGGCCCATACTACCTTCCACATCTATCCGTACCTTCTCCGAGAAGTTCCTCGACTTTACCAGATCCCCTTTACTACTGCTACTTCCTGCTATTCTCATCCTAGGCTTGCCCTAGGGAAACTCAAGTTCAACACGACTGGTCCTCAGCTGCTGTAGGTCTCCTCATAATGCCAGTTAGCCACCACCTAAACACCATCACATGTGATGAGGATTAGATAATCCTTCAAGTAAAAGATCCGTCCCTACAACGGTTGGACTCAAACAAGAGCTGCGCAATAGGGCCAGTTCCAGTACTTTGGGATTATTCAAACCTGATTACATGTGGTGTGACGTGTTCACCTAGTGGCTAACTCCCATTACTCAGAACCCCACCAAGCACGAAGCAAGCAGCATTCGGTTAAGGGGAAACAGACTCAAGCCAAAACTATTCTTATAACAAGAAACGGCACTAGCATAAGATGCTAAGCTCATACTATCAGGCATAACCTAAACAGGCTATCCTACTGCTGTCTACTCAATTCTAGCATGCAATACTCATAAAGCTGTAACACATAAGCAGGCACATAAGGCATCACTCCTAGATCCTTCGCATGCGGTTTCTTATGAAACTTTTTTTTCCAGTTTTTTTATGAGTTTTTAAGATTTTCTTTTGGAAAATCTTTCAATCCCTCGATTTGAGTTCAGACACTCCCGAAGGCGTGTCCGAATCCCTCAAACCAGGGCTCTGATACCAACTTGTAACGACCCAATTTTCATGTCCAAAAATTTCATTTTAAAATATTACTTTTAGAAAACATTAATAAATAAAAACATTGTTTGATCACGCCATAACACATCGCAAACCATGTTTTAATAATCAAACCATACAACCATCAAATATCAGAGTACAATCCCAGTGAATCTCGTAAATGCGGAAACCGAAGAGTGTGTGTGTGACATGCTGCTACCGTGCCGGCTCCTTTCCCCTAGCTGAGGAGGTACCTGAAACCAAAACTGAAACCGTAAGCACAAAGCTTAGTGAGCTCCCCCATAATACCCCATACCATACAGCATATAACAAATAACATGCAATTAGGAGATACGGGCCCCGCCCACACTCGTGAAGATACGGGCCCCGCCCACACCTCACTTTCTGAGAGATACGGGCCCCGCCCACACTCGTGAAGATACGGGCCCCGCCCACACTTCGCTACCTGGGAGATACGGGCCTAGCCCACACTCCATTCTCGGAGGGATACGGGCCTCGCCCACACCCAACCGTCAACACATATCATACAAGTATCACGCAGACAACAAGTGTAAACAGTTCTATCATACTGGTATATATCACAATCAACTCGACTAATAGATACGGGCTCGGCCCACACTATAATACTATCGTCTCATCTATACGGGCCGGCCTTGGTGCCTTAGACCCGTTACTACTGAAAGGAAACTCACCTCGAAATAGCTGCTGGTCTGTGTGGGAATTGATCACCTACTACTGCTGCTGCTGCTCCGGAAACTCCCCGGCTCAATGAAACCTGCTGAAAAACACAATGATGCTTGGATGGCTCTCCTTCCTCTTGATCTCTTTCCCCTCCTTGCCTCAAAACCTTCAAGAATCCACACAAGAGCCTCAAATTCACAAGAAACAAGCTTAGGACGAGATAGGTCGAGGGTTGGGAGCTCTGGGGGTGAATGGGGGCTGGCAAGAGGCAGATATGAGGTTTAAATAGGGTGCAAACCCCTGAAACTTAGGGTTTCATCCAACAGCGGTGACTCGCCGAGTCCAGGATATGGACTCGCCGAGTCGCCCACTTAAACGTGTCCCGGGTCTCGTCCCTACTCGGCGAGTTGAACCTTGTGACTCACCGAGTCCAAGGCTAAAATAGGGCAATACTCAAATAAAATTCACATACCGGAAACCAAGTGCTACACATCAGCAATAGTCTTCAACTGAAACTTAACCATGAAATCATCATGTTCAGAAACCTTATTAGACTTCATAAGTGTGATGGTATTCATGGATGAATCTGGGCGATCATCTCCATCCAAACTGTTAGATAAAATCAAATTAACAAATATTAGTCACATAAGATTTGGATGTAGAAATTAGAATGTAATAACATAAATTAAGTAATATTACTCACAAGAAAGTTAATTATAGAAATTACAATGATAACATAAATTACCTTTTCTTAAAATCATTGATTTCATCAATGTTAGTGTTAATGAACAACTTTGACACGGTAAAGTAGGTGTTAACTGTGGGGTGATCTATAAAAAAGATGTTATTCATTGTTAGTGTAATGATTATAGAATAATATTTAATAAGAAAATAATACAATATACCTCTCCAAATACTAAGTTTTGCAAATTGAATGATAACAATGATACGAAGATTGTGTGGGTTGTTATCAAGAAAGCCTTGTATTTTGTAAGCAAAAGCACCCCACAAATTGACACTCAATTGCAAACCACTAAAAAATAAAAGTTTTAAATTAAATGAAATGATTATTATATAATCTAATATACAAAAATAAAAATAAATTTTAACAAACTTTGCATCTTGGATTTGGAGGTTGAGCCTGTGTTTTTTCATATCAGCATTGTCTCGTACCATCTCACCAAATGCAATGATTAATCCAATAGCATCTATTAACAACAACAAATATGAATGAAATATTGTTATTAACGTAAAGATAAAATATTATATTCAAACAAAAAAATTGCCCATAGTTAATCTATATTAAAATGCAACTAACTGATAGTAGTGTTTTCATGATGGGCCAATGAGATAATAGACTGGTAATCAACAAACTCAAAACCAAATGTAGTTCCAGAAAAGTCATGACACTCAGTAACAACAGTGTCATGAAGAAAACTAAGTTTATGTTCCTGTTGAGTTAACCTGAAAGCACCCATCTTTTGTGATGCAAAGCTTGGACATTTTATGTAAAATGCCAAGCCATCTTTTAAAATGTTTTTGAATCGGTAGATGTATTTTTTTAATACATTTGCTTGTATCTTGGTACCCTAAAAGAAATATAATATATAAAATTTATAATTAAATCATATTATATTTTAATGTGTAAATAATATATAATGTTAACTTGATAGATACCTGTTCATTTATCAAAATTAACTCAATAGAGAAGAGTTTTGCATTGTTATAAAATGAAAAAAGGTTCCATAGGTTTATCACTCTGACTTTGATAGTTGAATCATCTTTGAGTACATCTAAACCTGCAATGAAAGTAACATCTGGATGTGCCATTGATCTGCAAATAATAAAGTATGTATAAAATGTTTAGTTAGAAGGTAAAATAACATATAACATATATAAATTGAATTAAACAACAACAATTTCCAATTTGAAGACAAAGACAGGAAGAACAGAACAAAAAATGTATGAAAAAACGGAACTATTTGTGCAATTTGATATTAAAAGAAACGAATTACAGTTTGAATAGAAAGACATGCAAAAAAGAAAACAAAGAATGTATGAAAAGATGGAAATGTGAAGTTACAAGTTAAAATAACAAATAACATATATAAAATGAAATGAAAAACAACAAATTCCAGTTTGAACACAAAGACAGAAAAAAAAATTCAATAAAAAATGAAACTATTTGTGCAGTTTGATTTGAAAATAATTGGCTGAAATAAAAAAAAAAAAGAATTAAAGATTACATATTGTATTTTATATAAATAAATTTGCTTTTATTTAAATTTAAAAAGAGGTATAGGAGTATGATCTGAAAATAGTTGTTAAGAAAAAAAAAAAATAACTTTTAAAATAGTTACTGCATTTCCTGCAAACATAGCAAGAATGAAAGTCAATTAATTGATGTAAATATAGAATTGAACATATTATGAGTTGTGAATGATCGAAACTACCGAAAAAAAGAGAACAAAGAATGATCGAAACTACTGAAATAGATGTAGAGTTTGATGTTAAAATAAAAAATAAATAAAAAAAGATTGTATTACTAACCTTTTGCAAATCGATAGAGCAGAGCAGATAAGAAACTGAAATTGGAGGGCAAACCAGTAGAAGGTTATGTGCAATTCGATAGGTATATATAAATATGCAGAGATTAATGAAACACATATTTTATTCCTGATTTTTATGGATTTGATTAGTGGGTAATTGATTTAAATTTGGAATTCGGTACCGATTTATGATTATGATCTACAAATAATTGGCAGAAAAAAAAAACGAAATTGTAGTCAACGATTTGCATTCATTTGATTCCTGATTTACAGGAGTTGATAATGTGAATTTAAAGGAGCTTATTTAAATCCACGATGCTGATTTATCGAGATTTTGACGATAAAAATAGGATTGATATGAGTTTTTATTTGCAGGTAATTGAAAATATGTGAGCTGATTTTTAGGGGCTGTTTCTCGATTTTTTGCTGATGTTTAGGGGCAGTTTCTCGAATTTTTGGTGTAAAGAATGGGCGGGAATTTGATGCATAAGAGTTCCCTGGTGAAGACACGTGTCAAATTGGAGGTGCAAAAGAGGAACACTTGGCATCCAAAGTACTCTTTTATTAAGAATAGATTTGGCAAATTATGAAACTAATATTATATTTTTGATCATAACAAGGCTTTTTTTTTTTTTGTAATAATTTCTTTGATCGGAAGATATGTATATTTGATTAGGTGTAGCCTGAAAAATCATATTTTAATTCTTATAAGGAAAAAATAATTTAGAAATTGACCAAATTACAATGTCTGAGTTTGATGTTTATGGCTATGTCAATGCACCTTAATTGTAATGTTTATTAAATTTCTTTACAGACATTGACGTATTTAAGGGTGTGCGAGGTGGGCGGCCGCACATTGCCTACGTCGTGGAAGGGCCCCAATTTTTACATAGGATTCATAATAGTAGACTGAAAATTGAATTGATTCAAGGGTATCGTCACCAGGAGAAAGTAAGTCAGTTCACTCTTTGATTCTTGTAGATCTAAGTCGTAAGTCCCTAAGTCGTTACTCATTCTCTTGAACCCGCTAATTAAGTCGTTGAGGGTGTATGTGTTTGATTGTTGATTAAGATCCAATAAGATCACTTAATTTCATATTATTGATTAATTGATTGTTTCAATTTCAAAAATTAATCGATTTTCTGATAAATCTGATGCTTACTTGTTGTGCTTCAAAATTAGAATCGACCTACTTATGTTGTTTCTTGTGAGTTTAATTGTTTCAATTTCAATCGATGACTTCAATAAAAACAAGATTTAAACAATAAAATAAATATGAAAGAATTCTGATTTTTTTTCTTCCAAAAACATGAAGGAATTTGATGATAAAGATATTAACTTGTGTTGTATCTGTCTTGAAGTTGCACTTAAATATGAACTTAATGGCGAACAATCAGATGTTGACGTCAATGAACTTAATCTGGAGTTATATCTGGTTGACGAGTTCTTACCAAGTGAAACCACTAACCCACCGATGTTTTCAAATATATGAAATAGTAATTGTTTTCCTAATGTATATAGAGTTTTGCTGACTATTCTATTAATTGTTGCGTCTGTAGAAACAAGCTTTTCAAAATTGAAGTTGTTAAATTCATACTTACGGTCAAAAATTTCACAAGAAAGACTTAATGACTTGGAAATGATAGATTTTGAGAACAATATATTTGGTACATATTGAGAACAATATTTTGGAGAGTATTTATTATGACAAGTCGGTGAACAACTTCGATTCTAAGAATGCTATGAGAGCATTGCGATTAATGTAACTATGTAAGATTATATTATATGTTATTGTTCCTTTTCTTCTAATAATAATCGACTTATCATAGTATTAACGAATTGTACTTATATATAAACAAATTATGTTTAAGGGCCCAATTTTATTTTCCGCATAGGGATCTCAAAATCAACGGGAACATTGCGGGTACATATAACAACTTAATTATTGTTGTTTTTGGTTTTACATGACCAATATGAAAAGTATCATATGAGCCTCCATGGGGTTTGTATACCGAACAAAGTCAATTTATAAAACTATCACACAACATATTTTAATTAATGAGTCGTATTGTGATAAAACAAATATCATGTTGATCATTTATTAAAAATTACTGTATTAAAACACAAAATTGCTCTAATATCAATATTAAATATTTTTATTTAACAAGTTTTGTTCAAAAACTTAAAATAAATCTAACTAACATTTTTTATTATAATTTCATCTAAAACAATTCCATTTATTAATGTGATGTGTATTTAATTTATATTATCCGTGTTTAACGCGGATCATAATCTAGTTACATGTGTTGTATTTAATTTATATTCTCCGCGTTTAACGCACATCATAATCTAGTTACATATCTGTAATTAAAACTTCAACGCTCAAAAACTTTAAAATGTTAAAAGAAGCATAATTACATATAGCTTGAACTTTATTTATTTAAAAAAAATTAAGATCGAAGCAAAACGTCAAAAATAGCCAAGCCAAAGGACCCACCTGGGATATATTCAGGAAATCGAAGCGCTTAAGTAAATGCAAGTTGGCCCAGTACCACGTTACTCGTCTCATTTATGTCATCACCATTTACGGTTTTTTTTTTTTTTTTTCAACCGGCAATAATACAAAAATACTAATTTACTCCAATACTAACACCTAATTCTACCTATGTTCACGATGGGATTTGAACCATTGATCTCAAAGAAGAAGAGCACCATCTGATACCGCTGGGCTAGAAGCCCTTTCACCATTTACATCTATTAAGATAATCTTGTAAATAATAATTGTATTCATGATTTATTCTTGTTTAATGTATTATTATTTTCTGGTAAACAAATTTTTTTTTAATTTTTTTGTAACCAGCAAATATATATTATAAAAAAACCCAACTAGCAAGGTGCTAGAGGGGGGAAAACGACAGAAGTTTACATGAAGGAGTAACAGAAGAAAAATAAACAAATTACAAAAAAACAGGAAAAAAGAACATCTCAACACACACCAAAAATGCAATCTCCGGGTTTTTAGTATTCTTGCCGGATTCCTCCCTCAACATAATGGATAGATGTTCCAATCAACCCATTTAATGGGGTAATTTGAACTTCTATGTTTAAGCCAAATGAACACCATGTCTTGTATATTGTCAATTGTCTTAGTGGGTGGTATCTTGATTTGTTTGAAAGATCTTTCACACCTTGCTTTCCATAACCACCAAATTGTGCCATAGCATATGCTCACGAGTATTTTCCTTTTCTTTGGGCAGTGTCCCCATGATCTAGTAAATTTTATGATATCCTCCACCGATTCGCAATGGGGGAACTTGATCTTACACCACCTCATAATACACTCCCAAACTGTATTTTTATATGGACATTTAAAGAATATGTGAGACACTATTTCTTCAGTATCAAAACATTGACCACAGTTAACATCTACCAGTTGTATACCTCTTTTTGACAAGCCAATTGTAGTGAGGATTCTCTCCATAGCTGCCCTTCAGACGAAACATATCACCTTGATAGGAATTTTAGGGATCCAATCTATAAGTACAGTGTTGCATAGATTTGGATTGGTGTCCATATTCTGTCTAATGATGCCAACATGAAAATCGCCGTCCGGGGAAGATGTACAGATCCACTTGTTGGGCCTATTGTTCGTTCGAAAATCACATATCCAGGATTTGATAGTTGTTAACTCCCTACTTTGTTCTACATTATTGAGTTTTGATTTCCAACCCCATTTTAATTCGTCACTTCCAATTCTATCCGCGACCATATAACTTTTTTTTCTTTTCCAATGCGTATAGTACAAGGAATGATGATTTGAAAATTCCTTTACCACTCCAATCTTCCAACCAAAAGAACGTGTTGTTCCCATCATTGACTTGTTTTTTCATCACAATCTCCAGTGGATTACCCCTTTCCTCCAATTCTTCCTTGATGTTGTCAATGTTTTTCCATACACCACATATCGACTTTTTTGCAATACAGTCAATCGATTTGTGTTTTAGATTATAGATTCCACGTATAATACGACTCCACATGGAATTGGGATCACTTCTATACCTCCACCACCATTTCGTGATTAAGGATATATTGAAAGTCCTTAGTGGTCCTACTCCGAGCCCACCCGCGTGTTTTGGTGCTATAATCTTTTCCCAGGATACCTAATTGATTCTTTTTTTATCACTTGTCTCTCCCCATAGGAATTGCCGCCTTAATTTTTTGAAAGTATGTACAACCCCAATTTGAGCTACAAAAATAGAGAAAAAAATAAGTGGGAGGATT